GAATATGTACAAGACAAAGTTTGAAACCCCTTTTTGGGGAAATGATAAAAGGGAAGGGGTACAGGCCACTTTGGGCAGTATCTTTTGGGGAAAGAAGTCCAGTGACTCTGAAGCTGGCCCCATGGCATTAAAAAAAAGAAGGGGAAATAACCCCCGAAAAGGGCTTGCTACCTCAAGTTTAAGGAAAGGGGTTCCCTTCAAACATAAGAAGATAAGCTTCCCTCCTCCCATCCCCTCAATCATCACCAGATCTTCAATAAAAGTAAGTGCATGTAAGTGTGCTGCCTTTTTCAGTTTTTGTGTATTAAAATTAATTTTCATGTGGTTTAAAAAAAAAATTTTTTTTTTATACTTTTGGGGGTCTTTCAGGTTAATTTTATTTTCCCTTTTTTTATGGGGGAAAAATTTATTCACAAAGTTATTTCGCATAACAATTACCCCTCTTGCACGGGTTAAAAAACGTTAACCCGGGGGTCCCCTGTTTTATTCACTTTTTTTGGGTTTCAGGGGTCAAGTCTTAGGGATGGATGTAAATTTTTGGCCTTCCCTTAATTTGTTTTCATAACGATAGCATTTTGTGGCATCCCCCATTTGGCCAATTTGCATGGCGTTGTTGGTTGGGTGTTGACCATGTGCCCCGGTGCTTCGCCAGCGTTTTTATGTATCTGAAGGAGAAGGGGTGACAGGTCTTGGCAATGGTGGTGGAGAAAATTTGTCAAGAAACCGGACCCCTGTTACCAGTTGTTGTAGTGGTGAAGGAGCCGGTATGTTTTTGCTTTTTTTACCACTTAAAAATCTTCTCCTGTTCTTGTTTTATGTTCCCTCCTCGGGAAAAATTTCCAAAATTTTAATGCAGCTTCTTCCTTAACCCCCCCAACTGTCAAACATAGATATACTTACCGCACACTCCTAAGTAAACAAATTTTTTTTTTTTTCCCGCCTCCAAATTTTCCTTTTGGGCCGGATGCCTTTTGCAAAAGGGGGCTTCCCCCTGTTTTTTTTTAGTAAAAAAAATCTGGGGGGACCACTTAGTACCTTGTGGGGCACCAGTTGAACTGAGGCCGTAAAGCAAAATTTGCAGCAAACACCAGAGTTCACTAATGTCATGTTGATTAACACTTCCCTTTAAAAAAGGAGTTT